GTTCCCTCTAAGCTGAGTTAGTGTGAGCTAGCTCACAGTTTTTTAGCCTCCGGCTCACACATTTTTGTCTTAGCTCAGGAAGGATGGCTGCAGAGCAAACCAACTTATGCAGTAGCCAAATTACTTGCTCACAACTTTCATGCCAGTAGCTCACAAAGTAGAGTTTTTGCTCATAAGACTCCACAGCTTAGGCTACAAGCATGGATGGCTTCAAGGGGGGATTAGATAAGCATATGGAGCAGAAGTCCATCAGTGGCTATTAGCCACAAGGTATAGATAGGAACTCTCAGTCTGGGGCAAGGGATGCACTGTATTCTTGGTGCTTGGGGGGTGCAACAGTGGGAGAGTTTCTAGTGTCCTGACCCCACTGCTGGACCTCCTGATGGCACCTGGTATTTTTGGCCACTGTGTGACAGAGTGTTTGACTAGATGGGCCATTGGCCTGATCCAACATTGGCTTCTCTTATGTTCTTAACATACCTAGGGTTGCCAGTTCTGGATTGGGAAATACCTGGAGATTTTGGGGGTGGAACATGAGGGTGGGGTTTGAGAGGGAAGGAACATTAATGGAATATAATGCCATAGAGTCCACCTTTCAAAACAACCATTTTCTCCAGATGAATTTATCTCTGTTGCCTGGAGATCAGTTGTAATCCTAGGAGATCTCCAGCTACCATCTGGAGGTTGGCAACTGTAAACATACCTTTGGCTCCATTCTTCAGTATGTGTCCCACTTTTCTGCATTCATCTTCGATCTTCCTCTTTGATTTCCTCCTTGGTTTGTATCCTCCCCCTGTTCAATCTCCTTTTTTCTCTCTGCCTATCTTCTCCTAACAGACAACCACGCCTAAATGAGAAGGCAGCGAAAATGGTGGTTGTGTCACTGGTGTGATCTGCCTTAGGTTGGAGTGTGTGATCCAACTGTAGTACCAGTCTGTGAGTTGAAAAAGGCTGTAAAGCCACCCATAATACACACACACACGTACTTATTCCTAAAACTTCTTAAAATTTCATAAAAGCACTTGTTTCCTTTCAATAAATATGCCTTGTTTTAGGTAATCCAGTTAATTTTGTGTTTGTTTGTGTATAAAACTGCATAAGGAAAGTGTATGAGTTGTATGCTGAAGTGCTGCTTTAAAGATTTTGAGGAGTGGTACAAATATGTTTGTTTGAATGAGTTTTATGTTGAAGAAGAAGAAGAAGAGGAGATTGGATTTATATCCCGCCCTTCACTACCCAAAGTGTCTCATAGCGGCTTACAAACTCCTTTCCCTTCCCCTCCCCACAACAGACACCCTGTGAGGTAGGTGGGGCTGAGAGAGCTCTGACAGAAACTGCTCTTTTCCAAGGACAGCTCTTATCAGAAGTACGGCTTGCCCAAGGTCATCCAGCCAGGTGCAAGTGGAGGAGTGGGGAATCAAACCCGGTTCTCCCAGATTAGAGACCGCGCACTTAACCACTACACCAAACTGGCTTAGGATCCAATATTTCTAGATTTTCCAGAAGAATTAGATTATAAAACATTTTACAGTTGTATTTCTAGTTTCCTTTAAAATATTTTTTAAAGAGAACCCCCATTTTAAAATGCTTAAAGTATCATGGTCTTCAGTAGAAGCAAGCTGAAAGCTAGGAATAGGCAGCACACAACCGAAACCCCTTTAGTGTGGCAATGTGGTCTTCTGTCAGAATTGATTTTCCTAGAATCATAATACATTTTTAGTACCTTCAATATTATAATAACTTGCTCATGTCTGTATAAAATGTAATTTTTGTAATACAAGTGCTCTGAGCAAGTGTTTGAATTCCCAAAACTCTTCATCACACTGAATGTTCAGTAACCCAAAAAGTTTGTGGGTCAGGAGAGATGATGTTTCAGGACTTGATAGAAGAGCTCCTTAGAATATTAAAAGGGAATACAGGATTATTGTGCCTTAACTGGACTGTATGGTGTTGAATCTGAAACAGATGCACCAAAAGCTCCTGGGACTTAGGAGCAAAAAGAGTGGACACTGTCCCTTTGAGAATAATTCAGGGCTATTTTTGGGTAGGAACGCACAGGAACGGAGTTCCTGCTAGCTCCCAAGTTGGCCACGCCCAGCAGGAACTCATTAACATAATAGGCCACACCCAACAGCAGTTTTGTTTTCCATATTTGTTGGTACAATCTTGTTAAGATTTTGATGGACTCCATTTCTGTGGCTTGGAAGAGCTCCGTTGGTATCACATCTAGTCCTGGTGACTTGTTTCTCTGAATTGTTGTCAGTGCAGCTCGCACTTCACTTTCTAAAACTGTAGGTTCCTGTTCAAAAGATTCTTCTTGGAAGGAATCTGTTATTATTTCATCTCTTTTATATAGTTCTTCACTGCATTGTTGCCATCTTGTCTTTATTTCGTACTGTTCATTTAGTCTCGTGTCTCAGCTGTGACCATTCCAACCTTGAGTGACTCTGCTAGGAGTTTAAACCCCTTACAGTACTGCTTTCAGCTTCGCTGACACGTACAACTCCCCTCACCACTTTAAGGTGTGCATCCAAGAGGGGTTGAAGTGGGGATAAATCACCCTTCTAGCTTCTGTTATTGGAGCTGTGCTGACAGGTTGGAGAGGGAGATTTCACCCCTTCTCAGCAGAGCCCCCCAACCTGGATAGCTGTTAGAAGAAGAAGAAGAGATTAGATTTATACCCTGCCCTTCTCTACCCGAAGGAGTCTCAGAGCGCCTTACAAACTCATTTCCCTTCCCCTCCCCACAACAGACACCCTGTGAGGTAGGTGGGGTTGAGAGAGCTCTTGACAGAAACTGCTCTTTTTCAAGAACAGCTGTGCCAGAACTATGGCTTGCCCAAGGTCATCCAGCCAGGTGCAAGTGGAGGAGCGGGGAATCAAACCCGGTTCTCCCAGATTAGAGTCCGCGCACTCAACCACTACACCAAACTGGCCGCATGGGTCCCATGATCTTGAAAATCTACTTTTCCTGGTCTGAAAGGTTCTGTTGGGGGAAAGGAAATGTAGGAAAGGTCTACAATCCATGCATCCATGGACCACCGGATCCAACTAATTTCTTACTGTGAGGAACACCATTTCACTGTATTTTTTTTTCTCTACAAAAAGAAGATAAATTGGCTTGACTCCACTAGAATATTTCCCGCAGGAGCAGCATTTCGGAGAGCATTTGGGGCTGTAGTAGGGGAGAGCAAGCAAGTTGTATTCCGCAGGCAGGAATCGTTCTGTCCATGAGAACTCTTGTGGATTCAAACCGCTATGTACAATCACATAAGCAAAACCAAACTTTAAGGAGGAAACCTCTTTGGTAACCCAATGGGGGGAAATTATTCTTATATTAAAAAAGGCATTGTAACTCCTATAACTGATCTGTTATTCTCCAATTAAAATTTAAATACAGGAAAATCTGAATAGCAAGAGAATCACTTGATTCATCTGTAACCTTGAGGAAAACACAGGACTGGATCCTGCCAATTATTTCACCCAAGCTCATCCAATTATGACCGCCCCCATTCCACATAACTTTTGTCTGTGCAGGTCCCATGATTCCTTGCATAGCCTTTGTGGTGCTCAAAGGGGATTCCATCCTCCCTTTCTCACCAGTGGAAAAGCTGGCTGTATCCAGCCCATAAAGTTGTATATTGTCTTGATTCTAATACACCACAAAAAAATACCCGCTTTGCAATAGACTGAGACATAACACCAACCCTTCTATAATATGTTAATTTGAATATTATTACTCTGCTTAAGATCCTTTTAAATCAACCTGGTATACGGTAACAGCGTTCCGTGCGCCTTGGTGCTTAGTCATGCTGGCCACATGACCACGGAAATGTCTTCGGACAGTGCTGGCTCTTCGGCTTTGAAACGGAGATGAGCACCGCAACCCTAGAGTCGGATTCGACTGGCTTTTGAGCAAGGGGAACCTTTACCTATACAAGCTTATTGTCTTACAAAATGAGGCAGCAGTAATTAAGTTCCAAATAATTTCTAGTTCTTCCTCTATCCTTTTGGTAACTTCAAAGAACTACTTTTGGGTCCTTTGTTAAGTTATAGCTGGTCATCATGCCATTCGTTAATTCCAGTATTTCTTTCTGGCTTTCGAGCAAGGGGAACCTTTACCTATACAAGCTTATTGTCTTACAAAAGGAGGCAGCAGTAATTAAGTTCCAAATAATTTCTAGTTCTTCCTCTATCCTTTTGGTAACTTCAAAGAACTACTTTTGGGTCCTTTGTTAAGTTATAGCTGGTCATCATGCCATTTGTTAATTCCAGTATTTCTTTCTAAAAACATATTGTTGATGGACAAAGCCAGAAAATATGTAAGAAGTCTGCTTTTGATCCCTGGCAGCACCAAGATCTATGCAACATTGTTTTACATATATAGGAATACTACTATAAAAACTTATTATTTCTGGATAGGCTGTCTACTGGTATGAATCTTAATGTCTCTTTCTTTTTAGGTAGACAATGTTATTAGCCCAGATAAATCGAGATTCTCAGGGAATGGCAGAATTTTCTGGAGGCGGGATGGAGGCTCAGCATGTTACTCTGTGTTTGACAGAAGCTGTAGCAGTACAAGGTAAGCAGTCAAGTTAATATCCCATTTGTCTTCATTTTGGCATTCCAAAGATCCCACCTTAATGTACTTACACTGTGGCACGTGAGTGTTTGAAATGTGCCATAAAAGTTTATATTTATTTAATTTCCAAGAGCTGCTTGGCTTATTGACTGCAATTTCTGCAGTCTCCAGCATCAGGACTTTGGAGTTCTCAGAGGGCTGCTATGGGAAGGGTAGGAAGGAGCTGTGAGTGTCCCCATGTGTATTCTTCTTCAAATCCAAACACTTACCTTTAATCAGGGGTCTTTTTCTAGAAAAAGAGCTGCAGGAGCTCATTAGCATACGGTATGCTAATGAGCGACTAAGCTATTAGCATATGCCACACCCCCTGACATCACGAGAAGTGATGTCAGAAGGGGAAGCAAGGGGGGGAGGCATCTTCAAAAGCCTCCCCTTCCCTTCCCCAGCTGGCCTGCGGGGGGGGGGGGACCGAAGAGAGAAGGGGTTTAACCCCTTCTCACTAGAGTTGGGCCACAGAAGGAGGAAAGAGGGAAGGAAAGAGAGAGAGTAGAGAGAAGGAAAGAAGGAAGGAAAGAGGGAAAGAAAGAGAAGGAAAGAAGGAAGGAAAGAGAGAAGGAAAGAAAGAAGGATGGAAAGAAAGAGAGAGGAGGGAAAGGAGGAAAAAAGAGAAGAGAAGAAGGCAGGAAAGAAAGAAAGAGAGAAGGGAAGAAGTAGGGAAACAGGAAAAGGAGAGAAGGAAAGGGGGGAATGAAAGGGGGACCCGGCTGCCTGTCTCTCCGCATCTCCCCCCGGCCCCAACGCTTCTGTGCAGGGAGCTGGGGGCAGGGGGCGCTCCGGCCCCAAAAGACCCCTGCCTTTAACGCTTATTGTCAGTAGTGTATACATTAGAGGCTTACTGTGTGTCCAAAAACTCAAGAATGATAACTGATTTTTTTTGTTAGATGGAGATAACTTGGACAACATGGAAGGAGTAAGCTTACAAGCAGTTACACTTTCTGATGGTTCCACTGCCTATATACAACATAATTCTAAAGGTATATTAAGATTTAAAATTACTGCAATAGAAAAGACTTTTGATTAAATCAAAACTCAAATAAACATAAGTTGGTAATTTGATACGAAGTCTAGTTCTTTTGTCTTTGTAAATATTGGTAGGAAAGGATGCACACTATTAGTTTGTACTCATTAATACATGTAGCAGCCATATATCCGTGTTCACAATAATTGAAGTCTTGAACGGCTCCTTTATGTGTAAACAGATATTGCCTGTCAGTTTATGTGTGTTCTAAAGGTGGCTAAAAGGACGAAGACTAGCAGTTCAATGCCACGCTGTGTCACACAATTCTACAAGTCCCTTACTGTCATGTTCTGCACCTGGGTGCCCCCTCCTGCAAACTGCCATCCTGCCTCGCAGGTTGCTTGCTTACTACGGCCTCAGGTCTGGAAAAAGGAGGGGATTCACTCTTCCCCATCTCCTTTTGCTTGAATTGGTCCTCTGCTGCCTGGAGGGAAGACCTGACGTTATCCTCAGCTTTTTTCTGGATTTCAAAGGCCAGCCTGAAGAGGGGGTGGGTCCATCCATAGCTCCCTGGCTCTCACAGAGGATTTCCCCTGAGAGTTGGAGAGCTGATTGGCCAACAGGCCCAGACTTATCTTTCTCTTTTTTAACATTGTAACTAGTTTCTCATCTGAAAGGCAAAGACTCATTCCTATGTGAATAACACACCATGAAAACCTATATTATAGTAATAACTCATATGCAGTGCTAACAACTACAATATATTTGAAATTATATAAACCTTGTACACAATTACTCATAAATAAATTAATACAAAAAGTGGCCTTGAATTCTTAACAAAGAAACTAATGTTCAAAAGTCCGGTGACGTTTCCAATTAGTGTTCAGCAGTTTTTTTAGGAGAATCCACCCTCTGATAGTAAGCAGCAAGGGCAGCGGAAAGCACACGATGGCGGGCACAGCAAGCAGCATCTGGCAGTAGCGACAGAGATCCAGATAAATTCGCAGCTCCGGAAAGTTATTCAAATTCTGCAATCTAGAACCAAAGCTTGCATCTAGAATTATTCCAGCAGTATATGGTGACTACCTCTCTCACAGTGGCTTCAACCTTCCAACAATCCTATGGTGATTGTATTTGTTAAGAATTAAGTTTTCACAGTGTGTTACTCCTGTTGATTATTCCCACCATGGTCCCTTTGTACTTCTGTATCTAGTTTTGGAGAAAGACCCACCCCTGTCAATCAGCTGGGTGGCATCTGTGTTGTTAGTGTTTCACTGGGGTGCAGGTGTGGTTCCATCATTGCCACGAAGTTCTCACCATGGCCAAAACATGGTTACCCTGCTAGCCAACTGACTGGCCCTCTGTGGGCTCAGTCCCATCTCACCCCCACTGTCCAACACTTACTCCAAGGCTGAGGTCACTATCAGTCCCTGACCCAAGGTATTAGTAGTCAGTGGATCTGCTGTATTTAGGGAAAGTTACTATATGGTGCAAGAGTGCCAACCCGGTGCCACTGTTTCAGTGCAGGAAAAAAGGGGCAGAAAAGCATTTAGTACAGACTCATAAGCATCATGGAACAGGTCTTTTACTTGCTTATGTTATTTGTAGTCGACCTTTCTCACTGAAATGTAAGGCATATTACATAATGTATGTCAGTGCAGTCAAGAGTATGAGGAGACATCTAATAAACAATGTAATAGGACTAGGACTTCAGAAATCTGAAACAAGGCTTAAAGTATTAAACATGATGTATTAAAGTAACAATACAAGAAAAGTACTGCATAAAGGTATTAAAAATATAATCCAGTGAGAGCAAGATAAAAACATACAGCAAGAGATAATACATATTAGTAGTCTAATCCACAGTCCTTTTCCCTCTGTTGACACTTCCTGCTGCCTGCTGAATCTTTCTATTACAATGCAGCCCTATTTCTTTATAAAAAATGCCATCTGGTACAGTTCTGTTTTACATAGTTTGCGGAAAACCAAAAGTTTACAGAAAACCAAAAGGCAGGCCTATCCATAGGGTGGGAACTACAGACAATGCAACTGTATGAGTAGTCGTTGACTTTGCCATTTGCAGGTTGGTGCCTGTTTCTACAGACAAAGCCCTGTGCAGATGAGCCTGGTTGTCTTGGTATCAACCAGCCGGGCATGCCTTGTACTGGGATAAAAATGAGGCAAGAAGGGTTTTATAGAGTAGGGTTTCCCTGCTTAGTCATATATGGGATGTTAGTCTAGCTGCTGTGTTGCATACAGCAGCTTGAGCTGATTTAGCTCCTGTCAAATTTATGATCAAACATATACCTCTTCTGTGTTTTAATTCAAGTTTTTCAGAACCTTTTATATGCCACTACCTTGTGTTCAGCATTAGTTAAAATAGTTTTCTCTTATCTGAAACACTTCATGAAAAAGGACAGTTTATTGTTTTAAATGAGACATTGGATGAAATCCATAGAAAAATAGATGGGCTTACCTCTCTTAGGAATCAGGGTCAAATTAGACAATATGTGAGAGGGAGGTGCAGTGTCCTGGCTTACATTGTTTTACTGAGAAGTAGCTGGGAAGGGCTGTGGATTTGATATGATCGGTAATAGGTTGAGGACAGAGCCTTTTCCCTGCAGGGTGTTTTTCTGATCAGATTGGGGAAGGGGGTGTAACTGCTTGTTTCCCTATAGGGGAAAAGACCCCTTTATTTTTTGCCATGCTGAGAGAGAAGCTGCTGGGGACTTCTGAATATGATCAGAAAGATTATCTACAGAGCTGCTGCTCTGATCAAATTCATAGCCTTCTATGGATGCATGTCAGTTTTTCTAAAAAGGGCAGGAGATTACTCACATCTCCCATATCTTGTCTAGTTTGCCCCCGTTGGTGTTTCGATATATAACTAAACAATTTAGGGACATCTTACCTTTTGTGCTGCGTTCAGGGTTCCTTTACACATATTGGCAGGCTGTTGTATACATGCTGCTGCCCACAATAATATCCCCTAGATCTGATTATCAGTGCTTTCAATTATAACAATCATCTGTGTGAGCGGGAGGGTGAAGAGGGACATGAATTTGATCTCCTCACTCCCCAAATAAGTGATTTGCACTGTCAGAGCTAATAGCACCAACGATCTGCTAGATGTTGTGTGCATGGTTTCAGTGTCTGCACATTCTAGGTGCTGAATCTGGAGATCCAGAAAGGGGAACTACCCAGGCAGTGTACATTGTTTGCATGGATAATGATATGCACATGGAAACTTACATCTGTACACTGAACATTCTTGCATGATTGCGAAAAATGCATTATAAACATTCATCTTGGTATGCATGTGTTCCAGATGGCAAATTAATGGATGGCCAGGTGATTCAGCTGGAAGATGGCTCAGCAGCCTATGTCCAACATGTTCCCATGTCTAAAAGTAGTAAGTATATTACAACAAATACTTAAAAACTACTTTCAAGCTGTTGACTTGGAGACAAAATGATTTAATTATTACTAGTTTTATTAAAATGTTACTATCATTTGAATTTTTAAAAAAGTGAATCTGTTACCTGGTCTGTAAATAAAATAAAATCTCATAATTAATCAATGCATTATGTAACTTAAATAACTTTTTCTTTTCCTGGCTCAGGAGATAGTCTTCGTCTAGAAGATGGACAGGCAGTTCAGCTTGAAGATGGAACAACAGCTTTCATTCATCATACTTCAAAAGGTACATTACATTTTGACATGGTTTATTTTGCACTAACCAAAATAGCTTCATTTCCCTTTCAGTATATCATTTGATTTTATATGTTTAATATATTCTCTTCTGTAGTGTAATTAATAGCCCTGAATAGCCCAAGCTTGCCAGAGCTTGGAAGCTAAGCAGGGTCAGCCACAGTTATTACTTGGAAGTACATGGTTTTGCTGTGCAGAGAAGGGCAATGGCCTTAAAAAGCACATGGTCGCCCTGACCTGGATAGCCCAGGCAAGCCCAGTCTTGTCCGATCTCAGAAGCTAAGCAAGGTCGACTCTGGCGAGTACTTGAATGGGAGACCTCTTTGGAATACTAGCAGTCGGGAGGCGGGGGCAGGCTTTATTCAGCCACCTCTCTGAATATCCTCTAGGCCCCCGGTAGGGGTCAGTCACCAGAGGTCACCATGACTTCCAGGCGCGCGCACACACATATGAAAAATACACACACACCCCAATAAAGAAAGAGAAAAAAGGAAAAGCCCATGGTTCTGGGATTGCCATGAGTCAGTTTTGACTCGATGGCACACAATTATTATAGCCTCTTCTCTGTCCAGTTATCTGTCTCTTCTTCTATCTGTACCAGGCTCCTTCTCTTCTGACCCCTTCCCTTCTGGTTCGTCCTCTCTGGTTCGTCCTCGTCCTATTTCCTTCCCCTGGCAATGCTTCAACTGAGCCTCCTGAATCTGGCCCCATCCCTGCCATACACCTGGGGTGGGAATCGGGATCTTGGCTCCACTAGCCAGTGTGGCCTGGAACACTCTTGGCCTATCTTACCTTGGCTACTCCCCAACCCATCCTCGCCTGCCAGGCATTGGGCAGCACGTCCTGTTTCCCACAAAGACATATCAAACTAACATTATTTTTCATATTTAGAAAGTTCCAGATTATGCCTACCAATCCAGAGTATAATGCCTGGCTGGAAGAGTATTGGTCTATATATGCCCGTAAAAAGGACTGCCACTTAGGGATCCATAAGAATATCTACAGTACTGATAAAGCTAACAAAATATATACAGTATGTTTTAAACCCAATCTGAGATCCTGTCCAAGATTCTACACTTTAATTATCATGTTAGATTATCTTCATTTAGAACATATTCCCACTTTCCTAGGGCAAGACAATTTGAGTTCGTTCAGCTTTTCACAAGAGTGAATGAGTTTTTCTAAAAATGGTCAGGGTATTTCTAGGAAATGTAAAGTGAATTTATGCATGCCCATCTTGTTGTAAGTAAAAGATGAAGAAATTGTCAAGTTGTTTTTATACTTTGGCTAGCGGACAGCATTTAAACTAAATTTAAACTAAAGCGAATAGGCACCTACATCAGAATGCAAACATTACATTACACATAATTGGGAAATGAAAGGAGGTTGTGCTTCAGCATGAATTGCTTAGTTGTGTCCAACCTCTTAAAGAAATAGTCATAGCTTTTTTCCATGTCTTAATATTGTTTCTGTATAATTTTTCAGACAGTTATGACCAGAGTACACTACAGGCAGTACAGCTGGAAGATGGAACGACCGCCTATATTCACCATACAGTGCAGGTACCCCAGTCGGATACCATCTTAGCAATTCAGGCTGATGGCACAGTGGCAGGTCTTCATACAGGAGATGCTACCATCGATCCAGATACAATCACTGCTTTGGAACAATATGCAGCAAAGGTATATTTGGATCACACCTTAATTTTGTATGGTGTTAGAATTATGTGACATAAGGCTCTTAAGTTCAAAATATTTATTATTGCTCTGAAAACTGCTGAGATCAAGTTGTATGAGGAGAAAATGATTTTGTTACAAAACAAACAAAAAAAGGTTGGCATTGAAAGCTAGACTATCTGTGTTCGAAGAGGGGACACTATGGAGAGGTAATTGAAGACTGGAGAGAAGATTAGGTTCCTTTGAACTTTGTGAGATAATGGAGGTAGGAGACAGAAGTTTACTTGATAACTGGAAAAGAATAAAAGTGTTAAAAGTTGGAGAAATAATATCTTAATATAGTGAATTCCAGATAGTCTTTTGTATTTATAGCAAAGCAAAAAGAAGCAAGCATCGCCAGTCATGCACATTTAATTGCAGAACATTAATAATGCTTAGAAGTTTTTTTTAATAGAAAGCATGGATGGAAAATGCAAAATCAGTTTGTGGGATTTGTATTCATTTTCAGTTTATCTTTTCTTATAACACAGTACCTGGTGGTTATTACAGAGGTGGTCTGATACAGCAAAAACAAAAAGAAATCTTGTGTCATTTAAAAGACTTACCATGATGAATGGGGCATAAGCTTTAGTGGATGCAATTAATGCATTTGATGTAGTGAGCTCTTGTCCATGAAAGGTGTTTGTTCAATCTGTTAGTCTTCAAGCTGTCACAAAACTGCTTTTTGTTTTTAATGAACCAAATAATGTATTTTTTAGTGTAAGTTGTTCCTCCCGCACAATTTCTCATAGGCCTTTCACTTGTACTAACTGGAACGAATTGAGCTGGTTTGGAACATTGTCTCCTCAACCAGTCAGTAACACACACATTGGCCTGGTGCAGATGTAATACTTATGTTCTTCGACCATGATTAAGAAGTTGGTAACTTGCTAAAGTTTTATCTCCCCCCAATTATTGCTGTTACCTGTGTACCTGTGAATTTCTGCCTCCTCTACTTTGCCCAGTGTCCTGGTTAAGGGTTGCATCTGTACTACCTTTAATCATGAATTCTGGCTAGGTTTCTATCATAAACAGTTTGAAGCTGATTGGTAAGCCTGATTAAGAGGGGGAAATGGCTAGTGTTAACCATGGATAAGGTTGATGCACACGTAGCCCTTAACTAACGCTACCAGGAGTTCATATGTGAGAGTGGAGAAGCTTGAGTAGTGGTGTACATATTCCTGCAGCCTACTCCTGATTTTCTTAATTAAGTAGTGGAAGCATTATGTCTCATGGATGACATATTCATAACCTATTCATGGAGGATCAGCCGCTGCCATGATGGTTCAGTGAAACTTCCCTGCTTGGAGGCAGTATGCCTTTGAGCACCAGTTGCTGTGGGTTAACAGTGGGGGAAGACTGTTGTCTTCATGCCTTGTTTAATTCTCAGAGGTTTGGCCATTGTAGGAAGCAGGATGCTGGAATACATGAACCTCTGGTCTGATGCAGCAAGGCTCTTCTTGTATTCTTAAGTCTTGATAATAATGCACTGAGCAGTTGAGGTAGTTGCTAAGCAAGACACAAGTTCCTGTTAACTACTATTAATGGTTGCACCGTGAAAGACTATGGAATTTACTCATTCTTGAGATAAAAGGAGACCTGGAAGAGCATTGTTGAAATAATTTGGAATGTTCTTTTGAGGAATGGCTTCCAGAGGACCTGCTTATAATTTTGTTGGAGTATGTGAACTGGTGGTGTAGAAGTCGATAGTAGATACAATTGTAAACGTTAACTTTTTTTAAAAAAAATAATTTTATTTTATTTTTGGATTTATATCCCGCCCTCCCCGAACTTGCAAAGCTACCCATGTCATAGTTGTGAAAGGTCAAGCTGATTCTCTCAGTGCAATTTTTGTTTTCAGAAATTTTGAAATTTGTAAAATCAAGATTAATAGCTGGCAGAGGTGGCAAAATTTTGTGTACTTTTTTCAGATGGGAGAGCAAAGTGAGAGCAACTAACCAATAAATATATTCATAGTGACTCAATTTTTGTTACAATTATGAGGTCCGATGGACTATTGTTTGTCTTATGAATATATCATACGTTACTTTCATATAGTTGTACATAAAAGCCTCATTTCATTTAGTTCTAACTCAGTTGGAGTGAAACATAAAATATTTCAAGATGTGTTTCTGCTTCTTTCTTTCTACTTTTTAGGTGTCCATTGATGGAAGTGACAATGTTAGTAGCACTGGAATGATAGGCGACAGTGAACAAGATAAAAAAATGCAGGTATGTGACATCATATACTGTAAGTGATGCTATAATTTAATCTGGACAGCATTAACACTACTTAATATGGGAAAAACAGTGACTTTGGCTGCATCTCTTTTATGAGTACCTGCTTTATTAGCATGTTAATTAACTCTTTAGGTTGGATCCAGAGTGAGTTTTCCACTAACAGAAGGTACTTTTGTCAGAGGATCAGAACATTACACACACACAGAGCAACCCACTGATCTCCCTAAAATGCTGTTGTTGATAGACATGGTACCTTTTAGGAACAGTATGAGAGGCAAATTGGGGATTTGCAGCAGGAAGTGAGAACTGGTGGAAATTACCCCACCACTTCTGTTAGTTAAAATTTTTGTCTGGATACAACCCTTTGTTTTTTGCTAACCCAGCTGCTCTTCTCTAACTTGATGTAAAGGAACACCAGTTGCCCTGATGAGAGCAGAAACTGGTCTGCCTTCCTTAAGGGCGCGGGTGCATCTTGCTGTTCTAAAATCTTGGAAGAAAATCAGAGCTGCCAGTATCGACTCTTTCAGCCAACTGGCACTTAATTCAATGCTATCCAAAGACTTAGAGCGCTCTTGTTTTCTTAATAATCTATTATCAAGATATTCCATTCCTGATGACCTTCGTAGTTCTTCAACAAACAATTCAGATCTTAGAGACTGGGTATTTAACTGCGATGCTCTGTTAGACAGACAGTTAATTTTAAAATCACAGTCTGCTCTCTGGTTCAAATAATTTAAGAATGACCATTTTAGATCCCCCTACCTAGTTAGTATAGATAATCATAACCTCAGAGCAGCTTTCACATCTTTGCGTTTTGAATCAGTGCCACGGCTGTATTAGCTGGCCACTATAGTAGAACACCTAAGGAACAGCGCTTTTGTATTTGTGGCTCTTCTGTTATTGAGGATCTTCCCTATTATATCCTTGAATGCTCAATGTATACCCAACCTAGGTTAAAATTTCTC